TTTTTCCAGGGGCGTTCAGGTCAGGTGCATCCTCCACGTCATCTGGAAACTGCCTCTTTAAGCCAGCACTGGGTGCTGTTGGAAGGATGCTTTCTAACGCCTTTTTATCCTCTTCAAAGTGTAGACCCAGTATAAAATACAAAACTGAAGAATTGGTATTTCCAAGCATATCAGATTTCTCAGATGAATTCTGGTTAAGTAGGAAAAAAAGGAATCCTGAATATTAAAGAAATCATAGCATAAGACAAAAAGAATGCAGTAGCCTGTACTAGAAATCTTTGAAAAAAAAAAAAAGGGGGCTTATACTCTTCCTTCATAATTGGTTTCATCTATGAATTTCTAAGATGAGCTTCATTCTTTTCACAGTAAAATACAGGATAATTTCTTCCTGAGCTGGGAAAGTGAAAAGTTATCTTCATATGCAATCTGTCTGTCTATCTGTCTATCTACACACACACGCACACACACACACGCACGTACACACATAAAATCATATATCATATTCAAATCATCCCTTTGCTTTATTTTCTCCAAGCCAAAATAACTTCAAGCCTCCTGCCATTTTGCGTGATTTGGTGGTGTTCCCAAGCTTCTTTCGATCTTTAATCGTTTTCATTACTTCCACAGACTTCATGTAAAAGTTCCAACTCCCAGGTTAAGGAGCTACAACTGGTCTTGAGAAATATGTCTAACTAACGTGATGCCATAATGTGTGAATAATCTGTAACTGTTTAAAAGGAAGCAACTACATAAAGCTTAATCAAGAGAATCCTGACAAACACATGCACGTCATACCTCCGAGCTCCCTGCATCCCCTTTTTCCAGCAGAGCCTGGGCATTCATGTGGCTGTGACCCTGGGCCTTTAATCTGCTTTGGATGGAAGATGTTAAATTTTCATGCACATTTTCTGTAGCTGAAAACAGCACTTCACACATTACCTATAAAATTGCCAAGAAAAGAAAAAAATATATATTTTAAAACACTTTTGTGAAAATATAGTATGTCTTATAGATTCAGAGGAAACTAAGAGGCCAAATAAGCCTAAAACGTGAAAAGAATAATTTTAACTGCCAACCTTGTAAAATCTAAACATTTTTGAAACCAGAGTCAATGTATTGTTATTTTAGCTTCCAATTCCTTTCCGTCTTACACTTCCCAATGACAAAAGCATTACCACTTCCTTCTACCTGGTCCTTACACACTACATAAAATCTCCCCTAAAAGCCACACAGATAAGAGAGAAAGGTAGTGTAAAGGTTGCTGGGGGCCTTGAATTAAATCTAAGCTGTGAACACCCACAGGGCTGAGGTCACTATACAGAACTGCTTTATTTATGAGAACCAAAAGAGCCACCAGGTAAAGAACTTTAAAGGAAGAGAGAGGGAAAGGCCATAATTGTGGTTCAAGAACCAGGGAGTGGCATTGGTGGGGGCAGGGGAAGGGTGGACAGCAATGGCCAGTTAGGCATTGTAGCTGACACCCAGTTCTAGCAGACACTCGAATGGTCCTGTGGTCCTCATGGCCTCAGCTGCATCCAAGGTTTGAGGAAAGCAGAAAGGAGTGACTGAAACCTAAACAAAGACTCCTCCCACTGTCCACTGTTCCTCGTGGTTCAAGGTGGATGCACTAGAATCCATGGCCCTGTAGCAACGCACACCACCACCCTCAGCAGGGTCATCAATGTCCTCAGGCCCAGCTCTGAGTAGCCTCAGCAGAGCTGCTGGAGATGGAGTCACATTTTATGTGAACAGGCTAACATTGTTTTCGGTACCTTCTGTGATACAAGATATCTTTCAGTCATAGAATGCCCAGGGGAAAACACCATGTCTGAAAAAGCTCCAGGTAGACAACAACCCACAAGACCTAAACCCTGGTCCAGGAACCTTGGTGAATGTGCTTCACCTCTTTGACCTTGGGCTGACTTTCTCAGAAAAGTGTTATGAGAATCAGTTGAGATATGTTTTAAGATTCTCAGGAAGTTTTCACACAGGACAAAGCAGGCAGGGATAGCTGAACAGCAGGCTGAAGATGCAATATTATTTAGATAAGTTGAAATGATGGCCAAAAACCAATGAGTGACACTGGTCAACTGAACAACTGTCAGGACAACTGAACAGGACTAACACCATTCAACTGCACAAGAGAAGATAAAAAACAACGTTGCTATAAAGTTCCTATTTTAAAAAAAGATGAGCTGGGTACTTAAAAATAAACATGCCCCTAATGTGAACAGAAGTGAAGGTAAAATTTCACCAACTGTGGCTGTCAAATGTAGATGCTAAAATACAGGGTACATTAGAATACATCCAGAAGAGGAAATCTTAGAAACGCCACTCTGTGAGAAAAGAATGTTTGGCCCACAAGGTGACATTAAGGCAAAGATAATAGCTGTTCTCAAACATCTTATGTGGTTTGAATTGTACAAGGAAGAACTGATTCATTTTCTGTTGCTCCAGAAAACAGAACTAGACAGGTAAGTAAAAATTACAGAGTAAATACATGGTAGAAGTTGACAATAAACAGCGTTAAAACAGGGAAGCACAAACATAAAAACATAACAACTCCTGGTCATTGGAAGTGCTAAGTAAATATCAGGTAACTATTGTACAAGCTTTTTAACAGGATAGATTTCCACATTCTGTGTGACCGGATGATGGTAAACGAGCAGATATTTCGGCACTATGCTGGTGAAGCTTTGGTGAAAATCACAGGTCAGCCTATAGAGCCGAACTGATACATTTTACATATATCATAATGTCTTCTATAAAGCTTCTACACGAACTGTAATAACCTTGCCTTGCCTCACATGTGTCTTTATGTCAACAGAATCGAGGCATGTTTATGTTGTCTCACGAAACACTCCGCTTTACCCAGGGACAAAATATAATGTTTCCCTAGAAGTTATCCAATGCATGAACCTTATAATTACTGCCGTGGGCTTTTTATCACATCATCATGCACATTCAGAGTTATATTTCTTGTTTATTTCACAGGCAAGGGTTACTCAGCAAGAACATGAAGGCTATAAACAAGACCTGAAGGAGAAAGTCCTTTAACAGAACTCTTACCTTCTGTGCTTCTTTCTTCATAGAGTTACACTCAGGATTTAGAGCGAGGCAGTAGAGAAACTGCTTTAACACTTCCTTACTTCTTCCCAATCCAGAAAGAGCCTGAGCTTTTACTTGATGTCCCTAGATTCACCGAAGACAAAGTATACATTTTTAAAACCCAGCATGGTTACATACTTGAATACAAACTTCCCTGAACAAATTTATTAAAACAATTTGTTTTAATTTCACATTACATAGAATAAACACAACCCACCAAGGATGACTCTATCGCTGTCTCTCTCTACCCTGGAAACTTAGCAAACTTCAATAGCTCATAAATACAATCTACAGTCAGAACACAGGAGCTACCATACCCGAAATATACTGCACAAAGGAGTTCTAAGGGATGTGCTAAGAGAAAACTGGCTATCCACTTTAAATTCATTCAGCAACTACAGGTCACTACCATCTTCCTGCCTTCCAGGAGTTTACAGTCTCATGAGCTAAGACAGACATGACTAAAAACAATTACAGTACAAATCATAATATACTAAGCGCCACAATAAAAGTAAACAAAATACAATACAGATCAGTAATTTCCCAGGGCATTTTCTTTTCATCTTATGAATACCATATTTTCTCAAATCTGTAAAAAGACTATTTTTGTTTCTTTTTTTACTGGTTTACATATAGTTGAAAGACTTTCTCTCAGCACTTGGAATATGTTGTTCCAATGTCAACCAGCTTCCACAGTTTCAGATGAGATGACAACCATAAATATTATCTCCCTGTATGTCATTTTTCTCATTCTCATTTCATGTCATTTTTCTTACTGCTTCCAAGACTTTCCTTTTATCTTTGGCTTACAGCCTAGTCATTTGATTATGATTTGAGTTTATCATTGCTTATAACTTGAATTAACCTTCTCGGGTCTAACATTAATGTTTCCCACTAAATTTGGAAACTTTTCACCCATTATTTCTTCTTTTTTTTCTTGCCAAACATTTTCTGTCTTCTTCTGGGATTCCAATTGCACATATATTGCACCACTTCATATTGTCCCACAAGTTTCCAAGATTCTTTTCATTTTTCTTTAATCTTTTTTCTTTCTGTTCTTTGCATTGAATAAATTCTGTTTCTATAGATCTATCTTCAATTTCACTGATTATTTTGCCATGTATAATGTGTTATTAAGCCTACCTAGAAATTTTAAATTTCAGCATTGATAATTTTTATTTCTAGAATTTCCCTTTTTTTTTTTTTTTTTTTTTTCTTTTTTAGAGAAAAGGTCTCACTCTGCTGCCCAGGCTGGAATGCAGTGGCAAGATCACATCTCACTGTGACCTTTAAATCCCGGGTTCAAACAATCTACCTCAGCCTCCTGAGTAGCTCAGACTATAGGCACATGCCACCCTACCTAGCTAATTTTTAAATTTTTTGTAGAGATGGGGTCTTGCAACGTTTCCCAGGCTGGTCTTGAACTCCTGGCCTCAAGTGATCCTCCTGCCTCAGCCTCCCAAAGCATTGGGCATAGATGCATGAACCATGACATCCAGCCAGAATTTCCTTTTTTTTACAGTTTCCATCTCTCTGGTGAGATTGCTCTTGAGTCAAAGGTACCATACTTTCCTTCAATTCTTTGCAATTTAACTCTTTGAACTTATTCACAATAGCTTCTTCAAAGACTCTTTGTGGAAAATATAATATCTGGGCCCTCTCAGAGACAATTTTAATTGACTGTTCTTTTTTTTTTTTTTTTGTGAGAGTCTTGTTCTCTCACTGGAGTGCAGTGATACAATCTCGGCTCATTGCAATCCCCGCCTCTCAGGTTCAAGGGATTCTCCTGCCTCAGCCTCCTGAGTAACTGGTACTACAGGTGCATGCCACCATGCGTGGCTAATTTTATTTATTTATTTATTTATTTACTTACTTACTTACTTACTTACTTATTTTAGTAAAGATGGGGTTTTACCATATTGGCCAGGCTAGTCTCTAACTCCTGACCTTGTGATCTGCCTGCCTCGGCCTCCCAAAGTGCTGGGATTATAGGCGTGAGCCACCACACCCAGCCTCCACAGCTCCTTTTTAAGCCTTGTGGTTCTCCCTGATGCCTATGAAATTTGGAAGTCAGGATTTGGCCAGAGTTGGGAATCATCCACTCTGGGATTTCTCTGCTTTTAGGGATTTCCCCTAATTGTCAGCTGTTCTGTTAGAACTCTGAACTCCTGGCCCTTTTAGGTGGGGATGCTGAGTGCTTGTCCCAGTACTGTTTTTTTTGCAGCTGTAGCTGTGGAGATAGAGAGAACTCAGGGACCAAAAAAACAAAACCAAAAACAAACCAACAAAAAACCCACACACAATTCTCATCCCCTTCATGCGCAGGTTTTTTAGAAACTCTCCTCCAGCTTCTGTTTTTGGAGGCTTTATAGTGTCTTTATTTTTTTCATCCAGTTTTTATAACTGTCTTCCCCTCTGGATTCACACGACTACTTCACTCCTTCACTGTTACCAGAAGTAAACTACTACCCCTGTTACTGTCATTTTTATTATTTCTGTACTAAAATTTCTCCAGAACACTGCTAGCCACTAACAGGTAAATGTGAAGGTCTATTTTCAGGTCCTATCTTACTGTACTTGTCTCTCCACTGTTTTAAATACCATGACTCTTCTGGTGGTGCCCAGGTTCCATCTCCAGCACCAGCATGTCTCCTGATGTTTGCTAGCTGTCTATTTTTTTTTTTTTTTTTTTAACAGGCTTAATTCATTTTATTTTTCTTGTACAAAAACCCTATGTTGTAGCCACAGCTGGAGCCTGGGTCCGCTGTACGGAGACTCTGGTGTGGGTCTTAACAAGGTGGTCAGTGAATTCCTGATAGGGAGACTTGGTAAACACAGTCTCCTTCCAGAGGTCAGGGGTCAGGTAGCTGTAGGTCTTAGAGATGGCATCAAAGGTGGCCTTGGCGAAGTTGCCCAGGGTGGCAGTGCAGCCCCGGGCTGAGGTGTAGCAGTCATCAATACCAGCCATCATGAGCAGCTTCTTGGGCACAGGCGCTGAGACGATGCCAGTGCCCCTGGGTGCAGGGATGAGGCGCACCAGCACAGAGCCGCAGCGGCCTGTCACCTTGCAAGGGACGGTGTGGGGCTTGCCGATCTTGTTCCCCCAGTAGCCTCTGCGCACCGGGACAATGGAGAGTTTGGCCAAGATGATGGCCCCACGGATGGCAGTGGCCACCTCCTTGGAGCACTTAACACCCAGGCCGACGTGGCCATTGTAGTCCCCAATAGCAACAAACGCCTTGAACCTGGTGCGCTGGCCAGCACAGGTCTGCTTCTGCACCGGCATAATCTTCAAAACCTCGTCTTTGAGAGAGGCCCCCAAGAAAAAGTCAATGATCTCAGATTCCTTAATGGGCAGAGAGAAGAGGTAGATCTCCTCCAGGGACTTGATCTTCATGTCCTTGACCAAGCGGCCCAGCTTGGTGACGGGCATCCACTCTTTATCCTCGGCCTTGCCTCCGCGAGCTCCGCGGCCTCGGCCCCGGCCCCGTCCACGGCCGCTACCCCGACCCCGGATGCCACTGCCGAAACCTCCGCGGAAGCCACCGCGGTTCCCCATCCCAGGGCCACCAGGGCCTCCGGGCCCCCCCGCTGCTGCACCGGCGTCATCCTCCATTTGGTGTTCTCTCGGAGAAGAAGCGCTAACTGTCTATTCACCACATCGCTTACCTTGCAGCTCTCGGGAAGAGCAGCCATTTCGAAAGACATGAGTGTTTTACACAACAAATCAGCAGTTTCATCCCTGAGCTCCCTGAAGTCTCAAATACACTTCAGACCATCAGGATTCATCTATGGGACCTTACGTTGACAATAAATGTGGTTTGACTCATGTTCTTATTCTCCTTTCACAAAAGCGGAATCACAAAAGATTCCGCTTTGGTGGAGCATGAATCTTACATCATTTGAAAAGTTGTTTAAGGAAAAGTACAAAATTGTTATTATTATTATTTTTTGAGATGGAGTCTCACTCTCTCGCCCAGGCTGGAGTGAAGTGGCACCATCTCGACTCACTGCAACCTCCACCTCGCAGGTTCAAGTGATTCTCCTGCCTCAGCCTCCAGAGTAGCTGGGATTGCAGGTGTGCACCACCATGCCTGGCTAATTTTTTCCTGGCTATTTTGTGTGTGTGTGTGTGTGTGTGTATGTATTTTTAGTAGAGGCGGGGTTTCACCATGTTGGCCAGGCTGGTCTTGAACTCCTGACCTCAAGTGATCCTTCCGCCTCAGTCTCCCAAAGTGCTGGGATTACAGGTGTGAGCCACTGCACCTGGTCAGGAAAAGTACAAAAGTAAGAATACAAAGTTGCTAGGGCCCCTTTCAGGCCTTGTGAAAGTCCCCAACTTTCATGTTTCAGTAGTGTCTAAATTTGCTTCGATTATCAAAAGTTCTGAGAAAATAATACTGTCTTCTATGCACAAAGGACTTCACGTAAAGTTTCAAGTGTTTCATACATGTGCTCAGAATCCCAATCAAGATTTGCAGTTTTGATACCACAGTGTGTCAATAAATATTTATTAACTGAATAAATTAACTGGCTTTTAAGTAATTTTAAGTCTTACAGGTTTGCTGTGTGGATAAGATCAAACTGATCATGTGCCTGTATCTATTTCTGCAAACGGGCAAATATTTTGCTGGCAATGGCTTATCTCCAGTTGCTCCAAAAGTTCTGAATCATTAGCCATGATGAATATTAGCCATGACTGCATGCTTGAAAGGGCAGTTTTGCTTGAATAAGACACACTGCTGTAACCTAACTCCCCCGAGAGTCTAGAAGTGCTTCTCAAAGTGCTTGGTTCTAAACCAGCTTCCATCTCAGCTTGATCACACTCAGCCACCTTAGTCTTCTCCTCAGTGAACTTACTGCCCATCCCCTTGCCTTACCTTCCAGTAGCACTTCTTCCCCAGTCCTTACTTATAATAATAAACTTAGACTATATCTTTTACTATCTTCAACTTACTTATTAAACTATGTTTTGGCTGAAGCTTCTCTTCACTGGGCATCTGTCAAGAACTGAGGTCCACAGGTTTGCAACAGACCCTGCAGATACAGCCATCATCTCATACCACCTCATACACTAAATATTCATTTGCTGCCTCCCTTGAAAAGTTACAATTAGCCACGTACCTCTGTAGGAATTAAGTCTATCTTTCGTCAGAGACACACTGCCAAGTTTTTAGCTCAAAGAATAACACTATGGAGAGGAATCTAGCGTCAGAGGGCAATGCAGGGCTGCTGTCATTCAGAAATAATAGTTATAATTCATAAGAACTAAGGCTTGATCATTACTGATAGAAATTAACTCAGAAGAAGAGTGGCAGGGGAGAGGAATTGTGGAGATGTCAGTCAAAAGATACAGAATTTCAGTCAAACAGAAGAAATAAGTTCAAGAGATCTATTACAATACCATATGTTGACTATGGTCGATAATAATGTATTGCCTTCTTGAAAACTGCTAAGAGAATAGATTTTAAGTGTTCTCACCACAAAAATGGTATGTGAGGTAATGCATACATTAATTAACTTGAATTTGCCATTTCTCAGTGTATACATGTTTCAAATCAACATATTGCACCTGATAAATTATACAAATTTTTGTTTGTCAATTGAAAACATAATTTTAAAGAAGAATGGATGAAGGCATAGGAGCAAAGGCATTCGAAATTGGAGTCTAAACTTCTTTTATAGGGAAGCAAACAAGCAACAAAATAGATTTCTGAGCTTAGTCCAACAAACATCTGCTTCCATCCTTGGGCTTATTCCTAGGTTGAACTTGACACTCAAGCTAACCTGAAAACATTCGTTTTAAAAGATGGGAGGGAGGCCGGGTGCAGTGGCTCATGCCTGTAATCCCAGCACTTTGGGAGGCTGAGGTGGGCAGATCACGAGGTCAGGAGATTGAGACCATCCTGGCTAACACAGTGAAACTCTGTCTCTACTAAAAAATACAAAAAATTAGCTGGGTGTGGTGGCGGGTGCCTGTAGTCCCAGCTACGCGGGAGGCTGAGGCAGGAGAATTGCCTAGCCTAGGTGACAGAGCGAGACTCTACCACAAAAAAAAAAAGGGTGGGAGGGAAAAGGGCAGGCTTCCCAGAGCTTGTCTACTAACCTGGCTTTATGTCTCTTTAATGTTTCTAAAACAAAGATGATATAAAGTAATAGAGCAGAATAAATATTTTTAATTATTCACTGACTAATAGAGCATGCTATAGCTGGTAATTTCATCACAAGCTCTTCAAAACTTTAACATTCAAAGATTCATGAAAAAGCTTTTATTCTTTGGCTTCTTAAACTTCTTTAAATACTACTTAAGCTATCATTATTAGATCAGCAAAGTTCTTTTTTTGCCATGAGAGAAATATTAAACCTTTCCAATCAAAACACAGAGACTAAAATTAGTGTAAAATGTACACAAAATGTTACCTCTTTCACCAATAGCATTGATTTGTTCATATGCATATTAGGATCCAACAGCTAACCAGGATCATTATGTGATCTTCCTATGTACGCTGCAATTTTAAATATTTTTTTCTTCACTTACAACTTTATAAAATTTGATTTTATTTATATATTTTTTCAATGCAGCCAGCATATTATTCAGCTAAATTTCTATTAAGTGTAACCAAAATTCGTGTTTCTCAGCTAAATTCAGTTGGAGATTTAGTCTTTTAAATCAGGTTGCTTTAGTATGAGGTAAGGATTGCTAAACGTAGGCTACAGTAATTTGAGGGAAACATACTTTGTCTACAGGTACCTGATCACAATAATCTTACTTTTATTTTTAAGAAAACGGTATAAACTTCACACTGATTATCTCCAAAGCGAACAAATACAAATACCTTAATCAAGAGAGGTTCATTCTGACAGACTGCACTGGCATCCTGGAGCGCTTGCTCATAGTTCTTTATGGTCAAATATAACTCTGCCCGCAGCAGCAATAACGAATTATCATCAGGAGCTGAAAGACAGGAGGAATACAAACCAATAAAAATGACCGCATTTAAAAACAAGTAATCTTAATGTCATTACATATATTAAAGTGTATATATACATATGTATAAAGTATAAAGACAAAATAAGAAAGAATTGCTCCCTCCAATCACATTTAGAGTTTAGTTATTTGGGAAGTATATTTTTGACAGCTCCTCTCAGGAAAATAGGAAGAAGATTAACAAGACTTGAAAAAGCACCAAGAAAAACAGACTACCACTGAGTATTCCTACACACACACACAAGCTACATCATCTCCAATAATAAATTCAGCAACGGCTGAATCCTCTTACTGCTACAGCTAGGTATTTTTAGAAGAGATTTAAAATAATTTTTTATGAAAGTATGCAAGGAAATTCATGTTTAAGAAACAGAAAAGTAAAACATTTTCTTTTTTCTCAGACATCGAGTCTCGCTCAGTCGCTCAGGTTGAAGTGCAATGGCGTGATCTCGGCCCACTGCAACCTCTGCCTCCTGGGTTCAAGCAATTCTCCTGCCTCAGCCTCCCCAGTAGCTGCGATTACAGGTATGTGCCACCATGCCCGGCTAATTTTTGTATTTTTAGTAGAGATGGGGTTTCACCATGTTGGCCGGGCTGGTCTCAAACTCCTGACCTCAGGTGATCCACCCGCCTCAGCCTCCCAAAGTGCTGGGATGACAGGTGTGAGCCACCGCACCTGGCCCATAATTTGTTTTTCTACACAACTTGGTAGATGCTGATTTGTCCCCATAATTGTACCTAGAGTACATTCTCTTAAGGGAAGAAAGAAAAAAAAAACTCCTTTCTCTGCATTCCTCAACAGCAGAGGTCCTGATAATGACTCACACGCTGCCACAGACTTAAGTCCAGCTACACAGAAGCCAAAACTGGCTCTCTCTTTGAACTGACTTGCAGTCTACAAAGTATTGACTTGGCAGAGTCCCATGGCAAAGGCAGGAAGCCAGACCTCAGAAAGGCAGAACCATCACAGCCTTTTTCCTTACTGTGGGGGCTGGCTCACTCTACCTACGCCCACCTACAATCCTTGTAGGAGGGCTACAGCTATGTATTTTAGTTCAACCACACATTTTCTGAGCTCCTAAGATGTGTTCTCATCCCTCCACCTAATGTACGTTTTCAGTTTCCTCCAAAATCTCAACCCTGATTCTTTTCAAACTACCCCCTTGGTCCTTTCCAAATGCTACTAGCCTCCTTTTAGTTGATGTAGGTAACTGAGCAAGCGTGCACCAGAGAACTGACGCATCAAGATATTACACCAAGACATGGTGAAAAGTAACTACTTATAAATGTGTCATCACCACATATACGTCACATAGAGAAGGTATAACAAGAAAAAAGTAAAAGTGGAAAGAAATAGCAAGAGTTAAAGAATACAATTTGAATTATTAAAAGAGACATTGCTGGGTATGGATAACTGGCTAGAGCAGGTGGCAGAAACTTGTTTTCTGTAACAGGCCAGATAGTAAATATTTTAGGCTTTGCAGGCAAAGAGGCAAATGGAAAGATATTATATGGATACTTGTTTAACAAGACGGAAAACAAATTTTCACAGATTTCTTATTGATGCAATTTAAAATATGGTAAGGATAATAATTTAAGTACTTTTTTGGAATACAGATAAACTAATGAAAGAATGGAATTCT